GCTATCAGCTACTCCTCCCAGTTTGGTATCGTCGGCAAACTTGCTGAGGGAGCACTCCAGCCCTTCAGCCCAGGATGCTGAGGAAGAGGAAAGGGTTGCAAAGGCCAGGCCTAGGGAGTTCAGAGGTTAATGTGTTATTAGAAAATGAAGTATAAGAGTAAAGGAGAGGGATGCAGCTCCATGGCAAAGCTGAAGAGGACTGAGCACAGCAGCAGGGGCCATACTACATGACGGCAACGAGAAGGAGCACAGTTTGGACCTGRCTTCCCTTTGGGTGCACAAGAACGAGTAACAACTGAAATGCACTTCAGGATAAGGAGGTAAAAAGGGCGTGGGTTGTTCCAGATGTGTCATCTGACGGACAACATACTTGGCAGAAGAAGAAGAAGAAAAAAAGCTGTCAGCTTCATCTGCCTTGAAAAGTATTAAACAATTAAAGGTGTAAAAATTTTGAACGAAAACCATATAGGTTAATACAGTGAAAAACAATACAAAACAAAGCAATGATCAGGAACACAGGTATTTGACAACAGATGCCACATTCTCCCTTTTTGCCCCTCTCCACCGCGCTCCCAGTGTTTTAAGAAGCTAAATAGTTTCCTCAGTGTAAGAGCATTATATATTTATACCAAAGATGCCAAGAAATACATTGCCAGAACTGTGCTATGGGCTTCATCATGGACCAAAAGCTGCACTRCTTACAAGACAAACAACATATGACACAAAGCTACCACTCTTTCCACTTTGGCAGCATCCTCAAGTTTGTTTGCAAACAGTACTGTGCTGCAATGAATGTCTAAAGCAGATGGCCAGGGCCAACAAAACTGTAGAAACCTACAGAAGGCTCAAAGATGATTTTCTACAACAGTTGTCAAAGATTATCAGTTGAGCTAGGAGGAGACACGAATTAGCGGTTCCATTGAGAGAAAACTCTATTAAACATATCTTACACTAGCAGTAGTCAAGCTGGTCAATGTGGATGCACACAGCTACAGACTGTCTGCAGTAGTTTGAGAAGTAGGGATGCCCCAGGACAACTTGGAGCAGGAAATAAACGGATGAAGCTGTATTTGACACAGAATGTGGATAAACTACTGCAAAATCCACAAAAGGATAAACCTAGCAATACAATGTAGGGGTTATTTTTTTTCTCCCCAAATGACAGGGTCACAGAACGATAAAGGTTGGAAGGGACCTCTGGAGATCCTTTAGTCCAACCCTACTGCACAAGCAGGGTGCCTACAACACACTGCACAGGACTGTGTACAGGCAGGTTTTCATTATCTCCAGAGGACACTCCACAGCCTCTCTGGGCAACCTGCTCCAGCGCTCTATCACCCTCACAGCCAATACGTTTTTCCTCAATTTCAGGGGGAACTTCCTGTGTTTTGGTTTGAGCCCATTGCCTCTTGTCCTATCACTGGGGACCACTGAAGAGAGTCTGAACCCATCATCCTGACATCCTCTGTTCAAGTATTTGTACACACTGATAAGATCCCTCCCTCTCAGTCATGTCTTCCCTAGGCTGARGAGGCCCAGCTCTCTCAGCCTCTCCTCAGAGGACAGATGTTCCAGCCCCCTAATCACTTTGTAGCCCTGAGCTGGACTCTCCAGTATTTCCATGTTCCTCTTGTACCGGGCAGCCCAGCACTGGGCACATATGTGGCCTGAGGAGACGGACAGCATCTCCTCCTTCCACCTGCTGGTAACACAGGCCCCAGTGCAGGCCAAGGCAGCACTGACCTTCTGGGCCACAGGGACACATCACTGGCTCACGGTCACTGCAGCCCACCAGGACTCCCAGGTCCTGGAGAAAACTGCAAAGCACAAGTTCAAGGAGATCGTGCAGTTTAGATTAACTACAATTTGCCCCTATTTCAAGTTTAAAGCTTGCAGCAATTGAATGTATTGAAACAGTGTGCTACTACATCCATATAGATATATCCAAAGTTCAAGATACAGTAATAAATATGGTTTTAAATAAAGTCTTCACCCTTTACAACTATGTGTTCTGCTGTATCAGGCCAAAGGTCAACCTAGCCAAATAAAATACAATCCTCACTGTAAACTAGACTAGCCTGTTTAGAATATTCTAAAGTGTTAACTTCCCATAGATATCCCTTCTGTGGATCATAAAAATAATTTATCAGCTTAGACAAGAATAAGTTCAGTTAGTTAAAGTGTTAGTTATCTTTAGTAAACAAGTCTGTTCTGGTTAGTCTGCACTAATCACACTGTCACTTGAGCTAAGACTTGAGTAATTTTTGAATTATTTCTGTTTAAGAATTTCATATATGAGTTCTCACAATTTGTCATCTTGTCGGCTTCCTGTTGTGTTGAAACAAAAATGCGTAAGTTGATATTCAGCTTGCCTTGCAGAAGTAGTGCCTGGGCTAGAGGGAGGGGGAAGAAAGTGTGTTATATTAAAAATTATATACATATATATATATATAAGGAAGACTGCAGTCAGACAAGACAGGCTTCAGTGATTTAACAACTCCCTGCCTGTCACGGGGGCAAATCCTGCTCCCTTTCACACATGGTCACAAACCTCCTCAGCTCTCCCATCTTGTTTTGGCACTTGTCTAACTCTTTGCTCAAGTGATTCCTCATGGCAATCCAGGGAAATATTAAGCCACGAAGAAAAGCAGAGAGCTTTCTGTCTTATTAGCAGGTYGACTGGCTCGCTACGGGACTAGAGAAGAATCAAAGGCAGCACAAGAAAGGGACAAGAGCCTGGCCTGCTGCTTGTTGCATYGCAAACTCCTACATCAGTTTAGCTTTCTTGTTTATCTGAAACTAAAGCACTACTTGCATTTCATTATGCTAATTTTAACATAGTGTATTGTGCAGGTTTATGGCTTCTTGCAGGTATATGAGCTTATGACTTTAGTAAAAATTCTTCTTTAATTTGCAGTTAAATATATTCATAAAATAAAAACTGAAAGTAAAGTTTGCGGCTGTGCTCCCCCTACCCTGCCCAGCACAAACATACCTGTGTATGCAACAAGTGCAGAATGATGCTATTAGCTCCACATGTTGCTTATATTATGCAAAATCTTCTCTCTGTAAGTTCTACTGCCCTTTTTAAAATTCTTTATAAAAGAAAAGTTTAATGAATTAAACCATGCATATGTTTTAAGTACTACACCAAAAAAGGCACCTAATTGGGGGGGGTTGTATGTGTCCTTATATATACACATTTCTGTATTAGTAATTTTATTAAATAATGTCAACAAAACCACCTTCCCTTCCATAGTCTTGTACTTCAATACTTATTATCATAGAAATGATAATTTCTATAAAGTCACAGTTTAAGCACTGAATTGCTAAACTTAGCATTAAAGGCAGGTACCAACTGTTTGCACAAGTCTTTAAAATTGTCTTGCAGACTTGACACAGAGTCACAGGAAAAAAAAACAATATTGTTTCTTAGAAAAGCAATCCTAAGTATTCCAAAAGCCATCTCAACACTTCATAGTACCCGAAAGAAGAGTYAGTATACTAAGTTCTGTCTTATACAGACACACAGATCAAAAAATGACTACAACAAACCTGATACAGCATTAATTCTGTATCTTTAGAAACAGAGGGGAAATAACTCGAGATCAGAAAAAATCATTAATAATGTAGAAAAAGAAAACAAATCCAACAAMTACAGACAATGACTCAAGGGTTTCTTGTTTGTTTTTTTTTAACTTTCCCAATGCTTTAATCACAAATAGCACCACCTTGTTACAGACTCRGGGCCTATTAGGCTCCATGCAGCCAGTGAGAGTCTTGGCTTGCAGACCCTGCGCAGGCCCAGAGTCAACCTCAAACAAACACATTCCATCACTTTTAACAGAGAGGAGAAGTTTGGTTAAAAAAAAATCTAGCACAGATTGCCTCCTTAACCCCCTGAAATGAAATACACATTAGTCAAAATATTTGTGAGATTTCACTTTGCTTGATGCAGCARAGGCAGATTTTCTTCACCACTGATTAGGGATTCCTCATTTAACTGCAGTGGAATTGCTAAAGTAAATATGCAAAGGAAACAGTGCTAGCAGTGACTACAAGGGAAGCATGGTTTAGTGACTGAGAGCTAATAAACACCTTCTAGCTTCAGAAGCAGCATCTTAGAAGGTTATCACATCAATTAAAGAATTCAGAATTTGAATTCTGAAAGAAAAATTGAATTCAGAAAGAAAAAATGGTATTAAAATCCTTTTGACTGTGTCTTTTTGGCATGCCCAGGGCACCTCAGCCATACAGACTACCTCATTCTTTCAGTTTACTCGGGTTAAGTCTGTTCACCTGAGTCATTGAGGGACCCAATCACTTAAGACAAGCCCAGTCACCAGGCAGCTTCAGAGTTACTTGAGCTAACAGGAGAGAAGCAAAAAATGGATTGAATTTACTACTATAAACAATATCTATCATGGATTTCATAAATAAAAAAAAAAGAAACTTTTGGAATTAAACCGTGTAAGTTTAAGATCAAAGCTAACAGTCCTAAGCAGGGATACAACAACTGTGACTACCCTGTAAYTACAAAGGACTCTGTTCAAAAGTGACAAAGATTTTCAGAAATAATACATTTCCTCAAAGCGCAAACAGTCAAGATGTCCATTTCACCATCAAAACATGAAGAATATTAAGTAAAAAGTTGAATTAGTCACTCAGCTGAGCAATTAAAACTCAACTGAACTCAGCCACTCAACTGAGCAATTAATAGCCCGAAAAAGTAAGTTTTCTTGGCAGATGGCCAAGACCTGCTTTGTGTCCCAGGGAAAGCTACAGCTTTTCTGGCTCTGGCCCCCGTGCGCACTGGCAGCACAGAACCCACTAGCAAACGGCAGCGGGCACAGCAGGGCAGAGGTGTCCTCTGGGCCCTGAAAAATCCTCAGCTATTCCCCCCTACCACCAGTAAGAAGGGCTGCTGAGGAAGAAAAGATCATTACCCCAGGGTTACAGAGAATCAACTTTGCTCTTTTCAGAGTATTTTCTGCACATGTAAACTGCAATTCAGTAGCAACCACTACAGAAATTCATAAAAACATGTCATTAAGGTCAAAAGCTATCTTCGAGCAATATGGAGAAGCATGGTCAAAGTTTCCAGGCTTTTCTAGGTAAAGAAGTGCAATATCCCTAGCACTGTAAGGGCAGAAAATAATCAAACACTCACTTTTTTATTTCCCGGAGGAGCATTCGAATGAGGATAGCCTGCAGTGGTTCAATCATTAGTTTTCTCCACATATCAAGGGCTAGCTGTCAGGACACAACACCACAAGCGCATATTAACAACAAATACACATTATAAAAAACAAACAAACAAAAATTTGTGATTTAAAATCCAAGACATCAAATGTCCTTTTCCCCTCCTTTAAAAATTCCTTTGTTTGCAAACAGTTCCCTGCCCCCAAATCTGCCAATCTTTTATCTACTTTCTATTAAAATTATGCGGAGATCTCAAGGATAGACTCACTCCGTATCGCCACCAATATCGCTAAAAAGAAATACAATAAAACAGGAGCAAAGTGACCATAAGAAACATGTCCCGGGCAGCTGCTAAGAGGTCTAAAAGACATAAGAGCCATTATATGCAAGGCACATAAAAGATCTCTAAACTCAGTATTGCATAGCCTAGGCAAAGGCATTGGCAAGCTAATATCATGACTTGAATCAAATTCAAATAACCTTCACTAGGAATTTTAGATGAATAGTGATGGTGACCCTGGCCTGGGAGTATCTCGAAGTATCAAGTGAGCTTGAAGACTTCAAACTCTTGTGGGTAAAGTAATTGCTCTCAAAACATGTCATTTTAATAAACTCTTGGATTCTAACTGTTCAGAAGTTTCCTCAACAAGTCGGTCCAAGCCTGATTTAAAGTTCAAAGGGGATAAGAGACCCCCACAATGAACAAAAAAAAACACAAAAAACCTTACGAGTCATCAGCAGACTGGGAGAAACACAGAATAGGTTGAAAATGAACAGGAACACTAGTGCTAAGCAAACTCTGACAGAGCTAGCAGCCCCTTGGCTACAAATTGTGAAGCACAGTATTTTCAAAGTATGTTTTAACTTGAAGCAGGAACTAACTGCAGACAAGGCATCAAATCCCCTTTCTTTGTTAATGGGAAACAAACTTGCTCTGTCCCTCTGAACTATCCAGCATCCATGCTAAAACAGAGTGCACAGATGGGACGGAGGTAGAGCTGACTCAACGACCTAAGCAGCAGGTCCAAAGAGGAGGAAGACTTGCTTCTAGATCAAAAGACAGATGATGTTATGAAACCAAAGCTGTCTGCGAAGTGATTTCCAGCCTCTTGCTGCCTAGAGAGATAGGAGAAAGGATAGAGGGAAAGTTTCCCTAACTAGGGCAGCAGGAACTCACCCAGGGGGGAGCTCCAAGAGCAGTTAATTCTGCAGAAAAAGAACTGTCACTTTTTGTGCCTGTGAGGTTAAGGGGTTGACCTCAGGTRGTTTCATTCTGCAATATGGTTGTTTAAATGTGGTCTCTTGACATGGATTTCTCACACGTCTGCCAGTTTGTAACAGCTCAAGTTGCCTGTTGTAATTTTCTTGTCAAGTAAACTACAGCCAGACCAATCCTACAATGAGATATACCAACTCAAAAGCCTTTTTTTATCTTTGTAGGGGAACTGACCCTTACTGCTCCACTCAGACTGATGATACAGAAGAGCACAATTTCATCCAAGATCCAGAACATTTTGCCCCATGATGTATTTAAAAAAAAGACTTTTGTAAAAGGCTGTTCACAAACTCAAAAAGCAGTACAGAAAGTTCCTGTTTCTCTAAAAGGCTCCATCATCACATGTGCCATTGATAACAATGCTGCTCATGAAAAAAAACAACTTGTCTAGCTCAGAGATCTCTAAGCTTTTCTCTGAAATTAAGAGGATGAGAAAAATCTCTCAGTCCTACAGTGATGCCCCAGTGCTCCAGTCAACTCCAGCTGTAGGGGAGGCACTGCAGCCACTATAGAGGTACCCAGGAGCGTAGGCAGAACCTCACACTGACCACAGCCTGGAGTCTGTCAGCCCAAGAGACCCAGAGGGCATTCCCCAGTGCTCCTCACAACGGCAGGGAGGGAATTGTGTGTTTCATATCCTACAAGTGGGTGTTTTCACTTGTTGTTAGATGAAATACATTGTGATGGGTTCTGGTAAAACCATAAAGCCAGCTAGCCTTTATCTGTGACAGAAATTTTTTAGATATGGGGGGAAAATACTCAGAAAAGCTGAGATGTCAGGTCTACTACTTGTTCTTCTCTAGAAGACATATCCTTGGCCACAGAGCTATGGCCAAAAAGGAAGCTGCTACCGTGATCATTTGGCGCTATCTCAGACTTTAGTAGCACACTCAAATGGGGAGGATTCACTGATACATCAGCATCACCCAGCCCTGAGAACAAACTCCAAACTGGTCCCAGCCCCCAAAGCAACTGAACTAACAGGGTCACTGGCACTGAGCCAAGAGCTGCATCACACAACTGTGGGGACATATTCAACTAGATTTCAGTCTGAGCAGATGATAAATATGCTTTACGACATTTTGAAGACACTACAAATGGTGCAGCAATATGCACAGATGTTTCCTTGTGCATCTCTTTCTGCTTCTAACTAAAGGGAGCAGAGATCTGCTTACACTGATGAAACCCAAGAGCTGTGAGAACAGTGACCGCTGACAGGTCAAGTTTAACACTGGGGGTAGGCGGTAGGGAGTACAGACCAGCTTTCCAGACCTCAAGAGAGAGCTGTTCATTTCCCTTTAGGGAAAAGAGCAAACAGAGAGGAAAGGAAAACACGATACACCATTATAGGTGATGCTGGAATAAGATATAATCTCTAGTAGCAATGTGCATACACACAGACACAAAGGTAACAGACATACAGACAAGTATTCAAAAGAAAACTTTCTATTTAACTGCATTCTTGATTCGGGTTTTGTTCYGATTCAGACTGAAGAGTTGTTTTCAAAATCTGCTTATGTATACTCTCAATTCTTTTCATTTCAAAAACAATCTTTTCTTTTACTGTAAAATTGCCTTTTCATTTTACTCCCTTATTATTGTAATTTCACAACTACTGTTGTACCATAAAGTAAATAAATAAGCCTCACTTATGCATATCTAAAATGCATATAGTGGTGTGCCAAAATATTTCATTTGGGATCTTCTCTTTCCCCAGATATTTAAAAGTGAACTTCAGCTTTACAACTTAATATTAGCTACAACAGTTCTCAACACTCGCTTGCCTCAAATTATTTTTATTTAAAATTACATATATAAAAATATTAACTATATAAAATTATTTTATATATTTAAATGAAACTTAAACCCACAGATGATCCTTAAATCCATAAAATATCTATTCTCTTTCCTCCATAGTCTCAAACTGAGTTGCTACAATACAGGTACAAAACAGTTTGCGCTGGAAGATGCAACACACAGTACTGCAGCAGGCCCTAATTTTTGAAAAAAAAAAGTTGTTATAAACTTTCATATCAAGAAATATAAATCTAAAAAGAGTATTTTAAATATTTTACAGGTTTCCAGAAAGATAACACCTTGCAAGACATGTTCTAGATGACAGTGTCATGTGGTAAGCCAGCAGTTTTTGCAAAATAGTATCTAGTATCACATCTTGAAATACTGTTCTCCAATTTCTGGACTTGTTTAAATTTTTCCCACACAAATCTCACAACATATTTCTCCCCATCTAAATCGTAATCGGATTTTCTGAGGGATTCATGGCTTGTATCTTCTACTATGTTTATTTACCTATTCAGATTCTGTGAAATAGAAAAATCAAAATTGGGACAGAAAAAGTAAAGCAGAGGGAGCACAGCAGAACACGGTTTCTATCCACCGCTACTCTCAGAGACACCTACCTCTCCTATTTCCATCAGTGGTTCATTCATATCCACCCCTCCATAGCCATACTGAAGATCAGCTTCAGTCAATTTGTTCTTCTTAATAAACTGTGTGTTGAGGTACCTACCAAAATAAAGACATTCTAATTAAAAAACATTAAAAAAAATCAATTTAAGTCCAGAATTGCAGAATATCTTCTGCAGCACAACAGATAACCTTTTTTAAACTAATACCATTGCTATCTTTAGAAAACTCTGAAAATACAGATGAGCTTGATATGTGATGTAATACATACATTATGATCTTATATTATATTAAAACATTACTAGTAATTGAGAAATTAAACTTTGAGCAACTCTTTTGTAGGCAAATAACATACTCGTAGAAGAATTCACCTTTCAACATGCTCGCCCATATTATTCATCCACGCATATGCAAAACAGTTGCTAAAATTCCAAGCAATAATTTGTTTTTAACCGTAGAAAAAAGTTCCTGTTGCTTACATTAGAAGTATTTTCCTCTATCTGTATTGTTTATTTTTTGCCTTTTCCTCAAACGAAGACACCACTGGCTTTACATGAGGCACAACAATACATGCAACTATTGTTTCACCATTCCACAGAAACCAGAAGCAATCATTCAGATCCAAAGCTAAGAATGCATTTTCTGCTGGACAGGGAGAATGTATTTTCTGCTGGGTGGGTTCACAMAACCCTCCCTGTTTAACTCATTCATCTTCAGTTTCTCAAATGGGAACTCTTACAATGATTAAAATAAAATGCAATGATTATCAAAAATATTTGAAAATTTTGTTTTATTACAACAAAAGACAACACACGGCCCAGTGATTCAGAACCCAGAATGAAAGACCTGCAGAATAAATTAACTCATACTGTGTTTCTTTTACTACCAGTATCCAGAATTACACTCTCAACACTCAAGTAGGAGTTAAACTATTTTCTTAACAAAGACAAACTCAAAGCACTCCAAGAGAAGCTAACCGAATCTTCCAGGAGTACGGGGCAGAAAATCCATTGAGGAAAAACTTCTGCCATTTTGAGGTGAAATCCTTGTTTCAGAGACCTTGTCTAGTCAATTCGAAGATTAACTAAGCCTTACACGAGACATTCACCTACTGAACGGATCTGTGCAATCCAAAAACAGCATCAATTTTCATATCAGTTTGTTAGTTATGATCTGTCGCTCAGTTCAGCGTAACTGCAACTAGCAGACAGTTGCACTTTGAGTTTTAATAAGAAATTACAACATTAGTTTCATACACAGTTATATATAAGAAATGTCACAAATGTACTCTTTTGGAATTTACTACTGAATGTGTTTGTTTTTTCAAGTGATATAAAGCCCCTTCTAATTATCAGTATTCTTTTAAAACAAATAACCAACCTTCAGATTGAAATGCTTTTCCTCTCTTAAATTTGTAAGACCAGTTTTTACAACCATGTTTACAATACTTGTTATATTAATGCTTAAAGTCCATCACTGAGGACTGAATTTTTTAAAAATTCAAATCTGATTAGCATCAAAGATTACTGAAATGCCTTAAGAGAGTCAGACTTCAGAGGCCACTCCAAACTGGTGATATCTGAACATTTTGRGAGGAAGGCAAGGCAAGGAAGAAAAAAGCCCTATAGGGATCGGCGAACTTGAACGATTTGAGGACAGCAGAGTCAAAAGAACGAAGGGCTGTGACAGCGCTGTGGTGGCAGAGCAGAGCACTGCTCCCAACCTACTCCCAGGCACACAGAGAACCTCAGGGTGCTCTGTGGCCATGGGCAAAGCTGGTGCTCCGGCCCTCGGCCTGGCGCTCCGCGGCCCCGCGCGGTCGGGACACAGGCCAGGCCAGCGTCACCCTCAGGGCCTGTGGTCACTTGCAAAAAGCCAGTCACGTCACAGGGAAAAACAGCATTTCGGCTGCTCTGTTCAAGCCAATTTCACTCCTGACAGATATTAAAAAGTTCAGAGTTCAGAAGAGTGACACAAGGCAACACAAGCTCCACTTCCAAGTGGAATACCAAAGGAATGCTCCATCTCAACTATCAATATCAGGAAAATGCCCAGTATAGAACTACTTTTATGGACATTTTTTTCAGATTCAGGACTTGGTAACTCAACAAACTAAAACTGCAAGTTCTTTGACAAGGAATTTGGGAAATAAAATGAAAACATTCATTTAACAAGCAGAATACCAGATAATTCTCAGCACRGAGTACCAGTTTACATGGTAATTTTCATGTATTTGGCATCTAGATCAGCTGAGGTGTAATTCAGCCACAAGCTACCGTTCTAAACATAGAAACCACATTCCCAAAACAACATCTGTACAACACAACAGCCCACAACAACCTTGTGGATACAAACTTTGCAAAATCTTGTCAGAACGATCAGAAGGATTTTTTTTTAAACAGTTAATTTGATTCTAACGATTTGAATTATGCATAGTTGGGTAAGAAATAAATATTGGTAGGAGTAACACAAAAATTTTGAAATTTTGTTTGAATAACACTAAGACCCTACCCACTTCAAGACAGCTCCTTCTTATTTTTGTTCTCTACAATAAACCTCAAACAACTTATCTCCTTTGTCTTAAACTGTTCACTGATATGATAGCACATCACAACACGACAAAGCATGTTTCTAGAAACACTTTTTAAAAAAAAGGCAACAAAAAGGGGTACCACCCTTCTATTCTGATTTTCTCCTGGTTTGAAAGTTCTCCAAAAATAAGGAAGAAACTTTTTGGTAACCTTCTTCTGTTTATTTTAAATCTTCCTTCTACATAGGGAGACTTTGACATAAATTTTGATAACATATTTTGTTTGTCTTTAAGCAACATCTCCTAGGGCAACAAAAATATTCCATAAAAGTAAAAAATCTTAACAGACAGTGCAATTTTATATATTATCAATTGTTAGTTTCTCTAGATTATGAAGGAAAAAAACAACAAAACAAAAACAGTGAACAGTTAAAAGGTTCTATTTTGAGTTTAAAGCAATACACCAACACTACAGTTTATGTATAAAAATGGCCACTATAACAWTCTGCTACCTATATAATTGTTTGCTAGGTGGATCTTCAAAACAACWCATCAATGCAGTTCTTAGCAGACAAAAAGGTTTTTTCCTCAGTGCTTCATGTTAAGAAATTTATACCAAAATCAAACTGCTAATAATTTGTAGAAGTGCTGCAAGTGTCTAGATGCAGAAATGAAGACCTATTCTAACAACATCATTTCACACTCCAATGCGCAGGAGCCAACAAAACACAACAACTATTAACTAACTACCCAGGACTAGTTATGAGTCAGGTTTCAAAAGCATCCAGTTTGTTTTCCAAGGTTTTTTCCCCCCTCAACTACCACTTTCACAATTACATGGGTCTGAAAGGCACAGAAGGCACAGGCAATTACTAACTATGTGACAAAGCTATAGACAYGTCACAGTATAAGTATCAGCCATTTTATTCATGCTTTTAATAATCTGCTTGTGCATTAATATGCATATATACAAGCACATTAAAAGATAAAAAATTCTTTCCATTTTTGCAAAATCTCTTAAGACAAAAAGAAGATTATTAAAAATGTCAAAGTCTATGAGTTACTTCAAGAAGTTTTTAGATGACCTAATTCAAGGGAAAAAAAAAAAAAAAGAGAGAAAAATCAAAAGGTTCATGGCTTACTTTCTTCAACTCAGAGTAAAAAGAACTGTGGGGGGAAGCAGTCCTTCGCTTAAGACCTGAACACGTCTGTATACAGAAAGAGGAGGGGAAGGAGAGAGAAGCAGCACGCTTGTGCTTCTTCCTAGCTAGGTTTTATTCCTGAGAGCTGTAACTGCCAAAGCACATCCCAATGTCCCCATGTTTGGGAGAGTTATTAACTGAAGGTACTTCAAGGTACTGAAAAAGAGGATCAAATTAGTGACCGCTTAAAYAAGCTAAGCCTAACTAAGCCTCATGACAGCAGATGGGGCTTAAGTGAGTGTCCTGAGGGAGCTATGAAATTCCAGTGAAGAACAAACACACACTTGGAAAGACTGAAACAGTCAGGAAGCAGCCAACGGCTGCCTAAATTTAAGCACTGCACCTGTCTTGAGAAGGAAAAGGGAACAACTCATCTCTCTTCCAGGAGAGCCCTCCTGGAAGCCACTGCTACTAACAAGAACGACAAGCGAGCAACCGAGAACAGCTGCCAGACCCAGAAAATTTTCAGAACAGGAACAAGGAGGAAGTTTCACTCCCTCTCCAATCCCTGCAGCTCAAACATTCACCTGAGAAGAACGGACCCCAAGAGCGAATATCGCCTTCTGGAAGAAGGGAGCACATGTTTGCCAAGATACCATCCGAGACTTGAAGCCAACGTGCTGATTCAGCTGCACACTGCAGTACAGGGCCAGCCTTAGAGTCAGTGTTGTAAACTGCTTCAATGATGAGATGGTTTCCACCAATAAATCAGGCACTGCAGCATCAGATACAACAGAGTGGTTTGTATGAACCATGACAGGACAACAGCAATCTCACCTTGGGTAATTACTTCAGTGGTAGGCAGCAGTGCCCAAGACACTTGCTGGAGGCACTTCTTTTCCTCATATTCTGCTACCATAACTACACTCTCCAGACCTGGGGCACATTCAGCTACTATTCTCTTTAAACAACATTTGTGGACCTGAAGTGTAGACCATTTTAATAATTTCAGAAGTTCAATAATTCATTTGCAAGGCTTACCTGTACAAACAGTCCATATAGTCTGCTCCTTTGCTGTATTCTTCCCAGTATCTGTGATACATAACCAGGACTTGTTCTTCAGATTCCAGAACTCTCTGGGAAGGAAGCGACASACACACACACTCCCTAAGATTAGTATTAAAATAATATACCTCTACGTAGAAAGTTTATACTTATAAAGTGAAAAGGATTACTGTTTTGCAGTAACAAGCAAAGATTCAAAATCAAGACCTTCACCTGACTTTTAACCACTTTGAAAATAATGTCATTGCACTGACCTGAAAGCAGACTAAAAGTTTGCTATGGAGTTTTGATATGCCAACTACAGTAGCAAAAATTATTTTGCATTTTAAATGAATTAAAGAGATTGCTCTTTTATTTTATACTTGTCTCTACAGGAGTACTTTTGGAAGAGCATGAAAAAGGATGTCTCATATCCTCATACCATGCTGGCTCAGGTAATCATTTCCTGGTTGTTACAGACCAATTTTAAGGCCATGTAGCCACACGCACACTAGACTCGGTGCCTCACTTCAGCTATAAACACCTCCAAGTCAGTATAGCTTACTGGTTGGGACAAGCTCTTACAGCTATGAAGAATCCTGGCAATAAAACAAATTAAATAAAGAATAGATATGYGCAAATATATATATTAACAAATGTAAACCTGTCTCAAGTTCTGTAATTCCATCCCCATATCTTTTGGAGTTTAAACTAATTATCATGTAAGCAGTTGCTGCTGTACTAAACTTTTCAATGTATATTCATGTACACAGAAATAAATTAAACATTTTGGATTCAAACAAATTAGAATGATTCRTGGAGGAGGATGAGATTCTAGGAATTTCATCACAGTTCTCTAGCGTGTGTTTTAAAAATTCCATCCCAAAAAACAAAGCCTTGGCAAAATTTACCTACTAGAGGAAAGCTCAGGGACGAGACAGAATCACGAGTCCTTTCCTCTGCAGCACCTTTCACCAAGGTTTTCCACCACAATCTCACACAACAGCAGCGGAGAGCCAAGCCGAGGGGGACACGGGCTTTCCRCTGCTTCCTACAGCTTCTACCTGTGCTTGTGCTGCCCAGCTATTCCCAGGGAGATTATTCAGCGCAGCAAATAAGCTGAGAGGCACTTGCCAACTGGGTTACCTGACAGGTTAGTGAATGATTTAGTTGGGGGGAAGGTGCCACCTTCCAGTATAATGTCCCACTGAGGTGCTCAGTCTGTCTTATGGGACAAATGGATACCTACATTCAAAGAACAACAAATTGGCAGCAGCATCCAGCAGAGTCTGAAATTCCTCATTCCCTGTCCAGACATCAGAGACAGGCATCTTATACTTCAGTAAGAAGAGAACTAGATTTAAATCAAGGAGCCACTATTCATCATTCCTATATACACAACATGAAGAATCATGATTCAGGTTGAAATCAGTCTTAGGTGATAACACAGAAGTTAATTCACAGCTGTATAGGTACATAGCTACTGCTAATGGCTCTGACAGTATTTTATCTATTTTTCCTCTCTCCCAACCATTTTTGTCAGTTCACTTTCCTCTTCAGAAATTGTGTTTAGTAGAGCATATTTAGGTGGTTTCCAAGACATTAAAGTGGGTACATGTACACCTTAACAAAAGGCTAATGACAATTTTGAGGACACTCTGAAAACTGAGACATTTCTGCAACCTTTTTGGTTACAAGCATTTAAAATGCGTAACAGAATGATTTTTCTTAGCCTATAYACACATACACAACCTTCTGGACACTCATCTGTGACTCAGGATCATAAAATTTGTACTTCAACCACACAACCACAACACACAAAGACTCTCCCAAAAGCCAAGAAATGTCAAACAATATCCCCATGTAGAGCAGKAACTACACAGGTTACCTTGTGCAAATGGCGAACATGATTTTCCAAAAAAATTTTAGTCTCAGTATAAAGCCTCTCTCCAAGAGGTTCAGGATAGGCCACACACAAAGCATAAATGTCTCTGGGCTAAAAGTCAAGGTTTATATATACACACTTAAAACATGAAAATATATCAAACATTTAACTTCTTTCTCCACATTTTAGTAGAATTCAAGTGAAACACAAAGGATAAAACATTTTTTTTTTGAGATTTAAGACGATGTATGAAGAATCGAAATTTTTCAGATTCAATCATCAGTAAGTCCGAATTTTTTTCTGGATAACAGAAAAACATAGCTATTAAAAGTAAGCGTAACTAGGTTAGCAGCGTGATCAGTGAAGTGGGGAGCAGAGAAAACCCGAAGGGAAGCCAGTGCCAAGGTTCTTCCCCACAGRCCCACAACAATCTGTCGCCTCCCCCTGACTTCCCATAGAAGTTTTATGGGACCGTTCTCAAAGCGAGGTGACCCCAACTGGGGTGTGGGGATCCAAGTACTTGGTTTCATTTCTTAATGTTTACCAAACTAAAAACACCATGCTTATACGTTTGAATCTATGCATCACACAAAAGTAGTCACATGGAATATAATGATCTAATAGAGCTTCTCTTAAAAAAAAAAAAAAAAAAGTAACTGAAAGACAACAAAATCTTCTTTCCTCCAGGACATCTTAACAAATGTGTCTGTCTAAAACGAACTAAAGGACATGAGGTCATTTGCTTATTCTGTAGAATAATGTCAAGCTTTTTTTGCACACCTTTTCCTGAAAGTGCTGCTCAAAATTGAGAAAACACTGATTCAGGACAACTAGATGGGGTGAAAAAACAAACAAACAAACCCCAAACCCCACCAATCCTGCTCCCCCTCCCCCMAAATCCTTTGGCAACTGGAATCTCAGGCAGAGCCAACAACTGGAGCCTGATCTTTAGTGGAATTATTTTGTTCCGAGGGCTCTGTATCGGATTTCTGCTCAGCACGTCAAGCGAGCAGCACCTCTCCAAGAGGCGCCCCGGAACACGCTGCGCGCAGGAAGCTCCCAGCCTGGACCRGCTTGTTCATTAACTGTGTCTTTGGGTCCAGGTCTAAAAATTAAGGAGGTCAAAGACACATCCCTGGGTCAAACCTTGAGTGTGCCCACTCTTGCCCACCCCCAAATGTTGTGAATCCCATAACAGAATCTTTAGTAGAAAATTACTGTTTAATAACTGAAAATTTACTTGATAGACTTAAATCAAAGGGGGTTGTTCTGTTCCTCTGTCCCTGGTAAGAACCCTCTACTGTTCAATAAGGTATCTTTGATGGTGAAATCTATCTGCCCGCTCAGTTCAGCCCCCTGACCTGCAGGCTGAGACTAGTTCAAAGAAGCTGAAGCACAACTGATGCTTAGGGGCCTTTGCTCTGTGTTGAAGGATGCGAGGACAAAAATCTTGTGCAATTTAAGTGCTCTGGTAGCTGCTATTTGGAGGGCATTAGGCAGCAGTGTAAAACTCAATCCATTTTAAACTAGCGGAAGAAGGATTAATGTTGATCAGCAACAGAATGCTATATTCAAGGCCCTAAATGATCACAATTTTTGCTCTAAAGGTTAAAAAAGAAAAAAAAGATTCAAGCTAAAGCCACATATGAACAGAAGGCTTTGGAGAGGTCCAGAGCATCTGCAGAATTTCTGCGATTGTCACATCCATCTCCCATGGCACTAGCACCCACCTGAGGACTGCAGTTCAGGAAGCCTGAGGACTCAGGGTCAGGGGGAAGAATCAGGCTCATGCCCTTCCCTTTAGATTCATTCCCATCTTCAATACACACGTTAACAAATGCACCGTTCATAAATTCCCAATTCCTGTCTTGTAAACTAGAGGTAGAAGGCAGGGAAAGAGGCTTGTGGGGGTGGGAGTTAACAAAAGGCTATAAACACCCTGCATATGTTTCCATATATATGTATACACACATATATTTACATAAATGTTTGCAGCACTGACCGCCCTGCCTTTACACCACAGCCCACGTACCCTTCTACACTGTTTATGCAGTTACGTGGTTGGTGGAACAATCGCTTCAACAGCTGGAAACAAACAAACAAGAGAACAGCAGCGGGATCCTGAGGTCTCTCCTGTTCAAGAAAGTTCGAGTACTAGTTCTTTTATATACTGTTAAGTTCCTTTTGGCAAGCAGTAACCTAGCTTGATCAGCCTCTCAAAGAGCATTCCCTTACCTGCCAAATAGTTAGAAGCAAAAGGCCTAGGAGTTATTCAAGGTATTCCTAAGAACCAAATTTAGAGTAACATCTCAAATAGAGGGATATAATTGTCACTCATTTACTGGACAATGAAGCAACTCCAGAAACATTTATTTCTGCAGAGAATCAGAGAGTAAATCTGAAGGTCAAAGGTAGCTCAAGATGACTCAGTGTTTAAATAAAGTGACATACGATCTTGCGAGCGATCTTTTCCAGCAGATTTTAACACTACACGGTTGGGGTTTCCAGCTCATTGGCTTCTTAGCATTTCAAGCAGGAGATACAGGTTATGTTTAACAATAAAATTATCATCGAGTTATAAAGAGAACCCTGCAGTCAAGTTGCAGGGAAGTACAGAAGCAAGGACCAATTCCAGCTGTTGAATTTGCACACTAGAAGCATYCCCCCCTAAAATACCTTAATACTCTGGGTGATCTCAGTAGTCTCAAAAACAAACAAAAACAAGCAAGCAAAAAAGCCAGCAGAGACTTGTTGCAATGGACTCCTGTAGACTGAATCAGGGCTCTCTGTTTTATCTTTTAGTTTATTTTCATGTCATTTTTACACTACAGAGAGATGACACAGATTAAATACTATAACAATTTTTTTTTTTACAAGTTAGTTCACTGAATAGATGGTTCAAATTATTTTTTTGCCTTTTGGTTGTGCTTATTCACTTACTTTTCTTCTTCGCATGAAGCCTGATCTATGGAAAGCCCTGATACATACACCAATGTTTAAAAACAGATCATTCCAGTTAACTGCAATTTAGCAGAGAATGCAAAGCCATTAAAAGCAAGAATATATATTTTAGCAAGACCTAGCATTTTAATTAATACTTCAGGTTCTTATTTTTGAGAAGAAAAAAAAGAAAAAGCTTCTACACCAGCTGTACAGGAAAGCTACCACTTTCAAAAAGCTGTTGGCTACTTAGCTAACATTAAAACATAACTTCATTGAAACAAGCAGAAGTACTAAACACCCAAGCTGGAAGTCCTAGTCCCACCAGCTCCTCAGGCCATTCTGCCTCAGAGGATACAGAAACAGTCAGCAGCCTTTTGGAGGAAGATGTGTCTGCAAGATGCTAGATAAGGTGCTAATAGTGCCGCCTTCCCAGGAAGAAAGCTAAGAGATAAACAGGAGAGTATTAAGAATTATATTCMAAATGATTCCTGCAAGTCTGCTTCTTGAGCCTGCTTTTCATAAGTGCTCTCTTACTCATTTTGAGCAACTAAAGTCAGTCCCAGAAGAAAATCAACAGCAGACTGGGGTATAAAGCTTTCATGAAAGAATTTAAGTGGAACAATATGACAAGAATATCACCAGCAAACTCTCATTTGACTATTATTTTGAATTGAAAATCCATTTAGGTGCTCTTCTTAAAACTGCTACAGTTTTAAACTCTAAAAGTTAAAAACTGTCTACTGCGGTCTTCAAAAAGTGATCAAGAACTGCCTAGAAAGGACAAATTGAGCTACAGAACAATCTGTGACCACAAAACACACACCTCTAACTAACCCAAACAATCTGCAAGTTGTGGTTGTTTGAACCTGACTTGGAGAGGAAGAGATGACTTTCTGGCATTCAGAAAATAGTTATAAAGTTTTAAAATGAAAGAGACACTTGGGAGGTTATTGGGCCATTGCACAAAGCTCCACACAGACTGCTATCAACTTAGTATTTTGGGTTTATATATACACACACACACACACACACACACACACTCAAGCCAGAGGCACACGGAGAATCAATTCTGAGGAAAGGGTAACACATTCAGAAAGAGAAGTGATTTTACAGTCTAGCTCCTAACGACAAAACAAACTCATACTGTAATAATCACATACGAGAAACTTCTCAAAAGCTCCTTTTTCTCAACCCAGAAAAAAAAATGAATATTTAAGTTTAATATCTAAGTTTAAATTGTTCTTCCATCAATAATCAGTCAGATTTCTGAGGAACATCTGAGAAGCCTCCCCAAATGCTCCGATTACACAGTGCTGTATGAGCTTATAAAGGCAGAGACACCAGGGCAAGTGGGTTAGAACTGTTACATATTTTAAAAGTTTGCTCAGACTTAAAACCTCTTGATACAAATCCACTTGAAATGTAAAATGCAAGCTCTCAATCACAATAATACCAATTGGAATGGCTAGGATGTAAACAGCAAGGCAAGCAGAATATAAGGAGTTTCCCGTACCTATTTTTGTAAGTAGTTATAGCACCACATAAATATTAACCCWACTGAAAGCAAGCAAACCTCAGACTGGTTTGCTTTCTATTGCCACAGTGATTTTGCATACAGAAAACTTTTGACTCCTGGGACCGGCATCAGATACAACCTTACAAAGGGCTTCTGACCCCTGCAACTGTTACATAACACAGGCCTCTGTATGCCCCACGTACACAAACACCCCGCGTAAGATTTTCACTGGAAGGATACGAGAAGCGGTCATTCCATGTTGCTCTCTCAACATAATCCAACATAACAACAGCTTTAATGGTTGTTAGCAGTTTGTTCCATGTTTCATCAAAGTCAACTACGCGTGGTTTCAGGGACATTGTGGGGCTATAGTGTTAATCTGAAGAAAAATCAAACATGTCAGTCAACATCACGAGACAATTAAACCAGTAACTTTTAATTTTTCATTTAAACTTTGTACTCTGTTGTGACACAATGGCATAGCAACATGAAGAAGGTAAAATGTTAAATTCACAAGCCTTATTTTTAATCCTGCATAACATAACATTAAAGTAGCACAAATAGTCGATAACATAAAACATATTTCTCTAACAAAATTGTGCCCAGTGAAGTTAATCCCCACATATTTAACGGTGCCAGGTGAGGAAAGTGAATTTGTCTTATCTGGAGGATAAAGGGTGGAAAGCACTTCAGTTTGGGCACTGAGAATCTGGGGCAGGAACACACTGAATGKATTACATCTGTATACTTATTATTATATATAGGTATACATTAGTATACTTATATTACTGCATATACTGCCAGTTTGTACCCCCTGTTCACCTCAAACTTTCAAGAAAAATTTGAGGTGTTATATTAAAAAAAAACGCAAAACGCAGAAGTTTTGATCAAAATGATGAAAACACCTCTAAACACTGTGCCACGCAGAGCCCTTGCAGCTCATCACACTGTGCAGCAACCAAATGGAGCAAGCCTTTCAAACACGGCATAGCTTGAAAACACCAAAGCAACATTAATAAATTCCTATTAAAAATACTGGAAAAAGATTTAGTGAAAGAAAAACCTGAGCTAGTGAAATAAAACGGGAAAAAAAAAAAAAAAGAAAAATGAAATAAAAGAGGGGTGAAGAGAAAATCTAAGCTGTGAAGGTCTCTCTTCTGTGTTTCTAGCCACCTCTGCCCTGTGCACCTAATCTAGAAAGGACCTGGTATGTGACATTCCCCACACAAAGCAGGCAGAGGATCCTGCTCAGAGAGATGCCATCACGAGACTAAAGCAAACAGCCAGAAGAATGTTCCTATCCCCATGTTACACAGGCAGACAGGTGACCCTTAACTCATCTTCCCAAATTTTCAAGGTCAGAGGGAAAAAAAGGAAGCTCGTGACAAACAGATTTTTGGCAAAACAAACGTTTTTATCATGTAAAGAATCAAGTGATGTAATGGAAAACTATATACACAAGCAGCTTAGGGCCTTAATCACTGCTGGCTCTTTGCTTTTCTCAGACACATTAGTCTGCTCTCACATYCATGTCATTTCTCAGTTTTAAGTGGAAAAAAATAAGGAAAATGGACAAATAAAACAAACTTAACTTGTACACCGTATGTGTGCAAAACTGCATTCTAACTAGTTACCCAAGCTCCTTAACTGCCGTGAAATCAGGAAACTCAGAGGGCTGTTTGCCTCACCCTGCAATCCAACAATTTCTGTTTAAAATGTAATCGATATATTGTCCACGAGTGCCTTGATTGCAGACAACAACAGAGTAACAACCAACCAAACAACAAACAACCAGAACGGTATCTTAGGCTTTATGAACCAGAATCTTTTTCAGCCAGGACCATTTTCTGATTTACAGAACACTCACTAAGTGATGCACAAATATTTTCAGTTCAGTAGCAACCGAAATTGTTATATTTGCCACATGGCTGTCACTGAGTTTGGAGAAAAAAAAAAAAAAAACCAAACTATCTTCAATCCTGATATGAAAGTAGTGATGTACTAAATAGAAAAGTAACCAGACTGAAAAAACAACACATCTGGATACAGCACGGCTGCCAAAGCTAAAAAAAAATGTGATATGGCATATGTCCTAAAGAAACATGAATAAATAAATTACAGCTAAGCTCACTTCTGCAGGGGAAGGTAGAGGGGGAAGTAATTTTCACCTGTAAGTTTTAATATACTTATTCCACAACTGGAGGAGCTTTTGCAGACGGCCACAAGCAGAGGCTATCACGGTTCACAAGAACTTTAAGCATCCCAAGACATGCTTTGGGTTCGCTTAGCTGAGCGTTACATGCTACAAGTTGCCTCCCCTGCAGCTCCCTCTTCGTTACCAGGAGCAGAAGGATGAGCTCCTTCAGAGCCAAACAAACAGGGGGGAGGAAGGTAGAGCAAAGTCCTCCTCACCACACATCACATCATACCAGCAACAACGAAGCACTAAGCATCCACACATTCAGGTGTGGGGTGACTTGCACAGAGCTAAGCCTCTAAGGCTCTCTTGAGAGCCTCTAAGGCTCTCTTGGGGATACAAGTTTAGATTTATTTACGTGACATTAACAAGTCCTGTAGGAGGTTTTTCCCCGCAGCACTTGGGCTTTCCCGGGCTCAGCGGTACCTCAGTAYTTGCTGTGCAGTTTAACAGACCCGGGTATTAAACGGCTGGCACAAACACGAGCACCTTTAAAGGTCAAGATCACACCAGGGCAGACTATCAACCCCGGGGCTGATGCTGTCCAGGCAGCGGGGAGCCGAGCGTGCCCGGCGAGCCCCCGGGTGAGCAGGCACATAACGTACACCAGGGTAAGCAGGTCTATAACCTATACACAACGTATACACAGCTAATGCCRGGCTGAAGGCAGCTACTGCCCCTCGCTGCGGCGCAGCGCCACGCTGGGCACGGATTCGTGCGCACGGACAGACAGACACAGCGCTGGGAGCCGCACCGGGGGCCGAGCGGCTCCAGCGCCTCCCGAGGGCGGCGGCAGCGGCCGCGGAGCGGGGCAGGGGCCGCCGCGCCGGGCACGAGCCGCGGCCCG